TTATGTATTTGGTAGAGCTGCTACCTCTCCTAGGTTTGGTGAGTGGCCTAATGTAGTAGGGTTCTGTAGGGTATAGTGACACAGCCTCCCCAATCACCCAAGCTGTGCACTTGAGGTGCACCCCCCTCCCCACCATGTGGGCTCTGTACACCCTCCTCTTGTAGTTGAACCTCATTTGCTATTGGCACGTCAATAGGAGGGATTTAACCCCAGTTTATCAGCTGTAAGAATTGGCTGCAACCACCAACCTCTGACCTCTGTGGAGGATCAGCTGTGCAGGGGCCCACCCCACAGAGCAGGACATACTTCAGCAGGGCTCTGGTGCCCACTGAGTCTACCCCTTGAGTGTGTCGCTTGTGGAGGTGGAATATGGCCCTAACCTTAAGCCCCCACCAAGATGGCTAGGAAGTGGAAGTTGTAACTCTTGGGGGCAGGAGGAGGTGGAGGGAGGCAGGATACTTGATTTGTTTTTAAGCAATTATCCAAAGTAAAGATATATCTGATTTTTATTGATTATTTATTCTTTAATTAATGTATCTGATTATTTTTTAAAGAACCCTAGGAGATGTCACACTTGGAGCCTACTTCTTTGTAGTGATGAAACCTCTAGACCAGAAGCCAGAATAGTTAGATCCTGTTCCCAGTGCTGCAAGTAGTTGTAGTCAAAGATATGATTTAAACCTTCTAAATATATCTTTATCCCTGGAAAATTATAAGTATAAAGTTTTCCTTTCTGAAATATTAAAGAAATGTTTGTAAATTCTAAAATATACTCACAGACTATTACCTCATTTTCTGGAGGGAAAACTTTCAGCAGCTTTAGCCCTTTGGAACATGGCCATGAACCTAAGCTGACAAATAGGAAGAGCAATTAATCAAGTGTAAAGAAGCCAAAAGAGTCCCTGAATAGCTGAGCTGCCACCAGGGCCTTGCACTTTTTATGCTCCTCCCTAAATCACACAGCAGAATGATTAAAAATGTTTATGACACTAAGATATTTCTGCTGCAGCCAAGGAAAAAGACGAGAAAGCATCCTTGGTCAGTCAACAAGAATTTAGGTGCCTCGCAGAGAGGGGATATTTAAGACAAGTATGAGATTCAGCCTTTGTCTCCAAGCAATTTACATTCTTTTAGGTTGCTCCATATAAAATTGCCATTTTTTTAAGTAAAATCACCATTTTATAGTTAGTATCACCATTTCGATATATTCAATCAACAGTTGGATAAGCAAAACAATCACATGTTAAACATTAGCAAAGAGTACAAAACAGCATCAAGTTTTATATTAAATTACATGGTGTACATGATGTAAAAGTAATTTATGTGAAGTAAAAGAGATCCAAACAGTGAAGTTGCCAAAGATGGCTTTCCAGATCAAGCTAGAATAGATCTGAGCCATGAAGCCTAGGTGAAATTTAAATAAGTGTTTAAGAAAAGAAACAAAACTTCAAATAGAGGAAATGACATGGGTAAAGGCATAAGAGCAAGAGTAAGCATCTCTACATAAGGAAAAGTTTGCTCACAACAGAAGATACATATTAAGAAATGGGAAATGAGTTTGGATAGATAGTGTGGAATCAGCTTATGGAGACACCTGCACACCAGGCAAAATGTAAGCTCCAGTTTTGCCAAGTTTACTCTTGTATCAAGTATATGGCACAGAGTAATTTAATATAATTCTATGAAATGAATGAGTGAAGAGTCTTTATTAATGATAAAATAAGAATTCACTAAGGTTTGAGGGAGGAGATGATACATGATGAAAATGGTATCTAAAACTGATTAGTTGGTTGGATCAAAGGAAAAAGACTGGCATATGGAAATAAAACTAGAAAATTGAAAGGAGTGATAAGAGTGTGGGGCAAGATGGAAAAAGAAGACTTACACTAGAGATATTTAAAAGAGAATCAACCCAAGGACACGGACAGTGTTGGAGAGAGTGTCTGGGGAGGGGGAAGGAACGGGGGGGAATGGGTCATTGGGGAGAAAAAGGGACATCTGTAATACTTTAAACAAAAATAAAAATTATACATATTTTAAAAAAAAAAGAGAGAGAATCAACATCAACCTTGAAAACTTTAAGCTAAGTGAAAGAAGCCAGCCACTAAAGACCACATATTGTATGATTCCATTTATGCAAAATGTCCAAAATAGGTAAATCTATAGGGACAGAAATTAGATTATTGGTTGCTTAGAGCTTGAGGAGCTGTTTAGAGGGGGTAAGGGAGTAATTGCAAATGGGTATAAGGTTTTTTGGAACAGTTAAAGAAATGTTCAAAAATTGATGGTGGTGATGGTATACAACTCTGCGAATAAATTAAAAGCTATTTAATTGCAGACTTTAAATAGGTGAATTACATGGTATGTGAATTATATCTCAGTAAAGCTGTAATTTAAAGAGAGGGAATCAATAAAATGTGATGCATGACAATATATACGCTTCTGATGGAGAAAATCAGCCACTCACTAGACTCCATAATTTCCAGTTTGATTCTAACATCATTATTACTTAACATTGTTTTAGGAGTGCTGGGTGATGCAATAAGACATGAAACATAAATGAGAGGTATAATATTAGAAAGGAAGGGACAAGGTTATTACTTTCAGAAAACTCAAAAGAATCACCTCGAAATGATTTGCATTCCTGAAAATTCAGTAATATATAGCCACATATAAGATGTACACAAATGTCAATATATTCTAATATACCAGCAATAGCTAATAAGAAAAAAATAGTACATAAACATTCAACTTTGAAATAACCTAAATATAATAAATGTGAGTGGTTTATACAAGTGAAAAAAAATTTAAGCTATAATAAGTGAAGATTTAATAAAATGGAGGTATAGATCAGATTATTTGATAGGGGGGCTAAATATTATAAAGATATCAGTCCCCAAATTAATTTTTTAAAGCTTATTAAATAAGTTTGGTGAATATTGCAAAAGCCTTCTAAATGTTCATACCCTTTGTCTCAAGGAAATCATCTAGAATGGGGAAAACTTTATGCACAAGATGCCCGATCTGCTCCCTTAGGTCCTAGATGATAACTGTCAGGCTTTCCTCAAGGTCTTCTCTTCTCATCCTCAGTTCCTTCGTGCAACCTTTACTCACCTGGTTTCCAGAACTGTTCTATATCCTGATGTTTTCCCCTGAATGGACTATAGTTTGTGCCTCTCTTTAAATGTGTCATTAACATTGGTTGTTTAGGAAAGAGTAATGTAAGTAAAGCCAAATAGAGCTGAAGTATTGTTACCACAATTTAGAAATAACCCTATGACACATTGGAAAGTGTTTACTAGTGGTTGGGTATATGATTTGGTAGTGGTTATTTCTTAGAAAGTGTATCCTGTGTTAGTATTAGGAGTATGCTCTACTGGGGTTTATCGAAGTTAATGGTCCTCAAGAAAATAAAAATAGCTCTATCTATAGCTTTCTAAAGATAATGGAGAGGAAAATAAGTTAAAGAATGGTGGGAAACAGACTTGCTTGACTCAAAAAACAGCCAGCATAATTTGTACCCTCTTTATTAAGGAAAAAACCCCACTCTTATAAAGTAGTAAACCTGATTTTTTAAATTCACTTTCTGCATCTTGATGCAAAAATAATCAACATTGTTTTAAAAAATGCAAAAAGTCAACTGTATACAAAGTGAAAGACTTGCTTTTCCCACTTGTTCCCTTCTCTAGAGTTCACTGTTATATTCATTTTTATTTTATTATTTTTATATTAATTTTTAAAGCATCATGAGATTATACTGTGATCTTTAAAACCACTTTAGTTTTTATCTCCAGTATTATGCATAGCTTCATTTTTTGCAAAACACATTATTACATTCCTTGTAGTATTTTATTTCTGTAATGCTAGTTACTACTAATTTATTCAGCTTCGCATTGCAATTTCTCTTTAGGTATGATTTATATCGCCCTCAAATGTTATTTTTATGTAAAACTGTCATTTAAACTATGTATTCATTTGAAATTATTCAGCTATTTTCAATTACTTTCCAATTGAATTTTATTTTTATTTTTCTCTTCTATCAAAATCAGCATGTATATACATTTGTACTAATAGAGAGAAATAAAGGCAGATTTCGTCTTGTTAGTGCATGAACTGCTGAACTCTTTGAAGCTCATGCATTTTAGTTAAGTGAGGAGGGATGGGACTAACCATTGGTTCCAAATGCCTGGATATTTGCAGGCCAACAGGTGCGGTAATGGGGAGGCAGGCACAAGACCCGAGGGCCTGGTGGGGACAGCTATCAACAGAAGACACTTGCCCTGGTGGGAGCAAGCACCCCCTATCATCATGCTAGAATTCAGGCCCAGTTATGCTAGATCTAATGATTTTCAAAAGAAGCCACCAAACCTGCATTTTTATGTGACATCTCCCAATTATTAAAATGGCTCATTTTTTGAAATACTAAGATATTTTTTTTTTTTTAGCTCTTCAGGCTGAATATAGCACTCAGACTGCCAAATTTACAACTTCTTTATGTTAATATACTTGTCAGCAGGAAAAACACCCTATTTTTCCACATTTGTTATGTGTTATTGGGGAAGATAGTAAAAGACTATCCTATTAACTCACCAGAGAAAGGGGATTATTGAGTCGACAACATAAAGTATGAAGTTCGGCATTCGTCCTTACCCGGTGTGTTTCTATCTGTTTTGGGAACGCCGCCACATGCCCCTTACTGACCACGCCATAGCAGTCTGTGGAAGCAGGGCTCCCCACTTGTTGGTCTTCAGTCCCCTGCACCACACTACAGAGAAAGAAAGATACAGAAGAAGTTTCAACGTCTTCATTTTCCAACCCCCAGTGGTTTAAACCAGAGGGTTCTTTTGGAGCAAAAATACTGTCTTTTCTTTCTCAGAGTTGCTGAGAAATTATAATTAGAGGTTTTCCTGTTGTGTAAAGGAAAGGAATTCCAGTTCTCCTCATCTGCAAGATTTCTGTTTGCAATGACTTGCTTCCCTGTCCCACTTCTCTTTCTGCAGGTAATAGAGGGAAAGCTGGCTCCATTCCTGGGCAAGGTCATTAAATTTGCCAGCTCACACGTGTACAGCTGCAGTCTCTGCAGCCAGAAGGGGTTCATCTGTGAAATCTGCAACAATGGAGAGATCCTCTATCCTTTTGAGGATATTTCAACAAGCAGGTACAGAAGACTCTCTTGTTTTATAAACGTACACCTGAATGTGTCACATGCGGTTTTATTTGGCCAGATCAGGCCAACTTTTAGTCAAGTACTGTATCTCTCTCTTACCTTGTATCAAATTTTCCCTTATTCTTGGAGAACATTGTTTACTCTTTGCTTTTCTATATTTATTTGCAACCCACCTCACTACCTCTATCCAGAATGAGATAACAGAGTTGCAAGGAAACATTGCCTAGCTCTGCCTTATTAGGTAACAAAGAGTGTTCAGATTCATTTTTAGAATGAAGACTGGGGAGGAAGAATCCTCACAACCATTTCAGGGACAAGTGATAGACGATGGGAAATCAGAGTCTCGGAGGAAGGCCAAAACTGGATGGATTACTAAGGAATAAAGCTAGAGGACACTGGTGAACAGCTGTCTGGCTCACCACAGGCTTTTGTCCACAGATGCACTGCAGTGTAGCGATGAAAGTTTTAGGACCAAAGGAGAGAAAAGTGAGAGTTAATGTGGAATTATTTTTCTAACCAAAGTAATAGTTGGGCATCATCACATCCATAGATTGATGGATGATTTTTTTCCCCGCCACTAACTTGAGAGCAGGGTTTTTAACATTGCTTTTCTTGAATCACAAAATGATACATATCACTTTTCCATTTATATGAAAAGCATGATAGAATATACATTGTGTGTGTGTGTGTGTGTGTGTGTGTGTGTGTGTACAGTGGCTTTTGGGGGCATGAATGTCGTGGCCCATTTCCTACTCTTCAGGACTCACTTACACTGTGGTTCAGAACAGAAGGTAAGGCATGAACGCAGGGAGAGTTGAAATATTAAGAGTTGACTCAGCCCTCTGGCTTCTTCTTAAACCTGAAGACTCTTTGTAAACATCCAGGAACTTTGGTTGTTCCTGCACATAGAAAGACAGACACATAAACACACAGACAAAAACACTCTCCAGCCTCTAGTTTCTTGAGTGGACAGGTACTTAAGCTCATATCCTAGAGATTACAAACTAATTAAAAAGGTGCACCAGACCAAAACTTATACACAAATGTTCATAATAGCCAAAAAGTGGAAGCAACATAAATGTCCATCAACTGATGAGGGGATAAACAAAATGTGGTATGTCCGCATAATGGAATATTATTCAGCCTAAAAGGGAATGAAGTACTGATACCTGCTGCCTTGGGGATGAACCTTGAAAACATCGTCTAAGTGAAAGAAGCCAGATACAGAAGACCATATATTTTATGTTCTAATTATATGAAATATCCCAAATAAGCAATCCATAGAGACAAATTAGGTTGGTGGCTGATAGAGCTTGGGGCAAGGGGTCTAGGGACTACCAGTGGATACAGATATTTTGGGAGATGATGAAAATGTTTTGCAGTTAGATTATGGTGATAGTTACATGGTCTTGTGAATACACTAAAAATCAGTGAATTGTATACTTTAAAAGAGTGAATTTTATGTTATGTGAATTATATAACAATAAGAAATGTTTAATAAAAATAAAAATTAAATTAAAAAATGCTTTAAACTGAATAAACCATTGCTGGGCCACTAAACAAGTCTCAGGAGATTTTAAAAGACTGAAATCATACCAAGTATGTTCTCTGACAGAATTAAGATCCCCAGTTAAAAAAAAACACCTGAGAAACTCCACAATATTTGGAAATTAAACAATACATGTGTCTAAAAACTTATGTGTCAGCCCTGGACAGTGTGGCTCAGTTGGTTGGAGCATCGTCTATACACCAAGAGGTGATGGGTTCGATTCCTGGTCAGGACACATACCCAGGTTGCAGGTTCGATCCCCAGTCAGGGTGTGTGATAGATGTTTCTCACATCAATGTTTCTCTTTCTCCCCACATCTGTCTCTTCCTTCCTCTCTCTCAAATCATTAAAAGCATGTCCTCAGGTGAGGATTAGAAAAATAAATAAATAAATAAGAACTCATGTGTCAAAGAAGATCTCAATCACAAGAGAAATTTTAAAATATTTTTAAGTGAATAAAAATGAAATACAAAGTTTCAAAATGTATGGAATACAGCTAAAGCAATGCTTAGAGTGAAATTTATAACTGTAAACAGGTATATCAGAAAAGAAAAAAGAAGGTCTCAAATTAATAACCTAAAATTTCACCATGAGAAACTAGATATTAATGAGGAAACTAAATCCAAAGCAAGCAGAAGGAAGGAAAGAATAAAGATTAGAGCAGATATTAGTGAAATAGAAAACAGAAAAACAATAGATCAGTGAAACTACAAGTTGGCTCTTTGAAAAGTTCAATAAAATTGACAACCCTTTAGGTAGACTGACCAAGAAATTAAAAGAAAAAAACACAAATTGCCAAAATCAGGAATTAAAAAGGGTACAGAAATTAGAAGAATTATAAGGAGGTACTATATAAACAACTTCATACCAATAAGTTGTACAACTTAGATCAAATGGATAAATTTCTAAAAAGACAAATTACCAAAAGTGACTCAAGAAAAATTAGAAATATGTTATAGACCTATAACAAGTAAACAAATTGAATTAGTAATTTTTAAATCTTCCCGTAAAAAAGGCAAATGGTTTTACCGGTGAATTTTGTTGAAGATTTAAAGAAAGAATATTAATCCCTCATACAAACATAAAGAGGGACGTTACATAATGATAAAGGGGACAGTTTTCCAAAAAGACGTAACAATCCTTAACGTGTATGGACAGAGAATCAAAACACATGAGTCAAAAACTGATAGAACTGCGAGGAGACATATACCAATCATATATATGTGTGTGTGTATATATATACCCCCACTGTTTTTCCTTTTTTATTGATTTTATTGGGGTGACGTTGGTTAATAAAATTATATAGGTTTCAGGAATACATCATCTGTATGTATAATATATCATCTGTATGCTGCATTGTGTATTTACCACCCAAAGTCAAATCTCCTGTCATCATATATTTGACTCCCTTTACCCTGGAATTCTTCTGCACGAAGGATCTGTCTTTTCCTCCCCATTTATTTATTCATGTCAGCATGAATAAATAGTTCTTATTTAGTTTATACCTTCGGTTATAATCCAATACTACTTTATTCTGTTGCTCAAACTGCTCTACCTTTGCCCATTCAGCTCTTTCATGTGGCTCCTCTGTCCCTTTGGCAAACCCCCATCATGGTGGGGGTTTTGTTTTTGAACATTTCCTTACTTTCTGGCACTACCAGATGTTCCAGGCTTTAATATTTCCTGCTTTAATCCTAGAAGAGTCCCAGTCCTTTTATTGGAGAATATTAGGAACCAAGATCAGAGCACTGGGTGGCACACACATTCTTAAAGCCCTCAGTCCGAGGACTCAGCCCTTGATTGGGGCAGAGGTGAGCCCCTCTGGCTGCACTTCAGAATCTCCTGTGAGACTTTTGGGCTTTTTTACCCTGAGAACCTAGACCTTCAAAGGCTCTCAGGTGATTCTGCAGCACAGCCTTCACTCCTCTAAGATAGCTGTGGTCATAGGATTGTTGGTTTCTCACAACCCAAATGACATTAACTACCCCTGTGGGCTCATGAGGGCCTTTACTCAGGGGGAAAGAATTCATAGCTGTTTGGGATCCTCTGTTTCTCCCTTACTCACATGCAGTTCTCAGATGCAGTTACACAATTGTCTGAGTCCAGAGGAGCCCTGATCAGCCTTCCTGGACATCCAGGACAATAACGCCTTTCAGGAACCTGTTGAGCTGTTTCTTGATGTTCCATTTCCAGTTAAACACTGGGAGTGACTTATATAAGTCTATAGGAAAGGACAAAAAGAAACACTAATAAAAGATTTAATAAAAGAAACTTTAACCAGAAATAGAGTTGCAGATATAAAACATGTCCATAAAGATGTGCTGAGTTAATAAATGTGATAAATAAAAATAAATTTGAGAGGGGGGTAAAATTTTAAATCTACATGTGACTGAAATCTTTATGGATGAAACAGTATGATATCTGGGATTTGCTTCATAATAATCTGACAGTGGGAGAGAGGGGACAGATATAGATGAAAGATCGATCCTTGTTGAAGCTCAGTGGTAGGTACACAAAGGTTTATTATTCTCTTCTCTCCACTTCTGAGTATGTTTGAAATTCTCCATAATAAAACATATTTAAACGTCTATATGTAAAAATCTTATAAATGAAGTATTCAGGGAATTTGTTACCTCATATCCTTGACCAGCTTGCTAAATTCAGCCCCTCTGTGTCCTCAGAAATATACTTAACATCCTTTGAGATCCAAATATCATTGAATGACATTAGAACTATTTGATTCTTTCAGTAAATGACTTAAAGTGTGTTTGTGCAGTGGGCCAGATTCTGTAGACACAGAGCACATGGCATGCTCCTCGCTCACAAACAGTTGGCAGTCTCTGGTAAAAGAGACGCTCACCGAGCCAGTAGGAGGTTGTATTAATTGTGAGAGAAGCCATGGTAAAGGGTGTGAACCTGAAGCTCCAACAAGGTGTGTCATCCATAGAGTGATATATGTTGCAGATGAAAAAGGAGGCCCACAGATTCTGAAACTGTTAGAGAGCTCTGTATTGGACCCTAAAGCGCTGACTTAGCTCATTTAGTATTAGACTGTACTTGGCGTTAATATGCCTGTTCGATGAAGGCCACATATCAAACACTGGTCAACTCTTCAGACTTTTTTTCCTTGTTAAATTAATTGTTATACAGGAGGGAGCTTCATAAATGTGTAATTTAAAAATATAGCCTTAGTATTAATTTTTAGAACACCATCTCTGGCAAACAAAGAATGTTCTGGGATTGTAGGGGGAATGGCACTAGTATTTACTAGGACTAATGCTAGCGATTTACATATCTCGTCACTCAATTTTATGCCAGTCGTCTGAGGGAGGTTTGTTACCCTCATTTAATAATCAGGAAACGCAGGTTCAGAGAAGGAAATTACCTTAGCCCAAGAGATAAGACCAAAACTTGAACCCAAACATATCTAACTTTAAAATCC